TGGCCGGTAGCGGCGAAAATCGCGCTATTTTTGGCCGGTAGCGGCGAAAATCGCTATTTTTGCCCGCCAGCTGCGAAAATCGCATGTTTTTGGCCGCTAGCGGCGAAAATCGCGCGGTTTTTAGCTCGTAACGGCGAAAATCGCGCTATTTTTGCCCGCCAGCTCCAAAAATCGCATAATTTCTGGCCGCTAGCGGCGAAAATCGCGCGATTTTTGGCCGCTAGCGGCGAAATTCGCACGATTTTTGGCCGCTAGCGGCGAAATTTGCACGATTTTTGGCCGCTAGCGGCGAAAATCGCCCCATTTTTGGCCGCTAGCGGCGAAAATAGCCCCTTTTTTGGCCGCTAGCGGCAAAAATCGGTCGATTTTTGGCAGGTAGCGGCGAAATTCGCGCGATTGTTGCCCGCCAGTTGCAAAAATCGCATGGTTTCTGGCCGCTAGCGTCGAAAATAGCGCGGTTTTCGGTCGTTAGCCTCAAAAACCGCCCGATTTTCGGCCGCTAGCGGCGAAAATCGCGCTATTTTTGTCCGGTAGCGGCAAAAATCGCGCTATTTTTGGCCGGTAGCGGCGAAAATCGCGATTTTTGCCCGCCAGCTGCGAAAATCGCATGGTTTTTGGCCGCTAGAGGCGAAAATCGCGCGGTTTTTGGCCGGTAGCGGCGAAAATAGCGCGGTTTTCGGCCGTTAGCGGCAAAAATCGCCCGATTTTTGGCCGCTAGCGGCGAAAATCGCACGATTTTTGGCCGCTAGCGGCGAAAATCGCCCCATTTTTGGCCGCTAGCGGCGAAAATATCCCCTTTTTTGGCCGCTAGCGGCGAAAGTAGCCCCTTTTTTGGCCGCTAGCGGCGAAAATCGGTCGATTTTTGGCAGGTAGCGGCGAAAATCGCGCGGTTTTTGGCCGGTAGCGGCGAAAATCGCGCTATTTTTGCCCGCCAGCTGCAAAAATCGCATTGTTTCTGGCCGCTAGCGGCGAAAATCGCGCGATTTTTGGCCGCTAGCGGCGAAATTCGCACGATTTTTGGCCGCTAGCGTCGAAATTTGCACGATTTTTGGCCGCTAGCCGCGAAAATCGCCCCATTTTTGGCCGCTAGCGGCGAAAATAGCCCCTTTATTGGCCGCTAGCGGCGAAAATCGGTCGATTTTTGGCAGGTAGCGGCGAAAATCGCGCGATTTTTGCCCGCCAGCTGCAAAAATCGCATGGTTTCTGGCCGCTAGCGTCGAAAATAGCGGCCAGGATACGAACCCAGGCCAAATTACTCATGATTTGAAACACGTGAAAGACCAACTCGTCCTCCAAAAATAATAGTACCTACCTTGAGGTTACCTTGAGGTGCTTCCGGGGCTTAGCGTCCCCGCGGCCCGGTCGTCGACCAGGCCTCCTGGTTGCCGGACTGATCAACCAGGCTGTTGGACGCGGCTGCTCGCAGCCTGACGTACGAGTCACAGCCTGGTTGATCAGGTATCCTTTGGAGGTGCTTATCCAGTTCTCTCTTGAACACTGTGAGGGGTCGGCCAGTTATGCCCCTTATGTGTAGTGGAAGCGTGTTGAACAGTCTCGGACCTCTGATGTTGATAGAGTTCTCTCCCAGTCGCACCTCTGTTTTTCAACGGGGGTATTCTGCACATCCTGCCATGTCTTCTGGTCTCATGTGATGTTATTACTGTGTGCAGGTTTGGGACCAGCCCCTCTAATCATCATCTTTTTTTTTTTTTTTTTTTTTTTCATTTCATGTAATCTGTTATCATTTTTTTGTCTATAAATTTTGCAAGTATTTACTTCCTTAAAATTTTCTTAGATTAAGGACCTGCCCGAAACGCTGCGCGTGCTAGTGGCTTTACAAGACTGTAATTACCATATTTGTATCCTCACATTCCTTATGTACATTCTTGTATATGCATAAATAAATAAATAAATAAATAAAATATTTTCCACGTGTAAATTATTATGTACCTCTCCCGCCTGCGCTCAAGGGAGTACAGTTTTAGGCTCTTTAGACCTACAACTAATGTGAATTGAACTTACATAATATAAACTGTTGCACATAAAAAGATTCAGTTTTGTAATATATTGTAATACTGTAAAGGGCATGTCAAAACATGGAAACTATAAACTTAACCTAACCTGTCTTGTGATCATATACTATCACATAACTCCCTTGCCTCTATGGATTGGACCAGAGCCTGGTCCTGGTATGTGCTCATAACTCAAGAGTTTGGTAGAATATGTTATTCTTGTAGCTAACCACATGGGGTAACTTATGGAGCCACCAAGATTCATATGATCATGTTTAATTCTAGATTTATCTACACTATTTTTAGTATGTAGTTTTATACATCATTTATTACTCTGGAGGGTTTATAAGCATATAAATTCTCCTTTGCAAAATGGGTGCAGTAGGCTAACCCCTAAACCATTAAATAAGTACTAAACTTATTTAATGGTTCAGTAGATAAGCAAATAGTGGCAAATAACTTTGTCACTATTGAACATAAGAATCTATGAAACTGCAAAAGGACTATTGGCCCTTGCATGGCAGCTAATATTTATAACCATCCAAACTTATTCATATACTGTATATGCCTAATTTGTGCTCGAAACAATAGATAAATGCTACGTCTATTGCTAGAAAAACTTATTTTCATCAGTTGGTTAAAAACTTTCTTGACCTCACCTTGTTCCTTAAAATATCCCAGATAAAAGTAGGGACTTATATGTTATTAACATATAAGTTATAATAACATATATGTTATTCTCAAAATATTTATCAGTGCTCAATTTTAGCATTTTATAAAAAAAAAAATTCATGATCAGTCTGTTGAATTAATCAAGCTTCATGTTGAATCTTAAATAAAACACTTTTTCTTCTATATAATCCTTTATTAAGAAATGGAAAACAGGTAAAAGACTGAATAACAAATGCTCAGTGCAGTGATGCAACAATTCAGAGCTATGGGATTAAATTGAGCCTATGAAATACATATATATACAAATTTATGGAATTATGCTCAAATATTTGTCAAATAGGATTGTGCAGGGATGGGGTATTTTGATTTTGAAACTTGAGCATCTCAAATCATTACTAAAAGTTTTTTCTTTTGAATCCATGAGTTGACACCTGTTATGTGTGTAGACAAAATAACGTCTAACAAAATTGAATGTAATTTTAATAAATAATGATCATTAATTTCACATTCAAACATTTATAACATTTCAAAATGATTTACCAAATAATGTGATTTGAAAATTATTTGAGGGCAATATATATATATATATATATATATATGTCGCACTTCTCGGGCTACTAGGTACGACATATATATATATATGTCGTACCTAGTAGCCAGAACGTCATACTCGGCCTACTATGCAAGGCCCGATTTGCCTAAAAAGCCAAGTTTTCATGAATTCTTTTTCGACTACCTAACCTACCTAACCTAACCTAACCTAGCTTTCTCGGCTACCTAACCTAACCTAACCTATAATGATAAGTTAGGTTAGGTTAGCTAGGGTTGGTTTGGTTCAGTCATATATCTACGTTAATTTTATCTCCAGTAAAAAAAAAATTGACCTCATACATAATGAAATGGGTAGCTTTATCATTTCATAAGAAAAAAATTAGAGAAAATATATTAATTCAGTAAAACTTGGCTTATTAGGCAAATCGGGCCTTGCATAGTAGGCCGAGAAGTGCGTTCTGGCTACTACATATATATACAGTATATGACATATATATATATGTCGTACCTAGTAGCCCGAGAAGTGCGTTCTGGCTACTACATATATATATATGACATATATATATATGTCGTACCTAGTAGCCAGAACGCACTTCTCAGCCTACTATGCAAGGCCCGATTTGCTTAATAAGCCAAGTTTTCCTGAATTAATATATTTTCTCTAATTTTTTTCTTATGAAATGATAAAGCTACCCATTTCATTATGTATGAGGTCAATTTTTTTTTATTGGAGTTAAAATTAACGTAGAATATGACCGAACCTAACCAACCCTACCTAACCTAACCTATCTTTATAGGTTAGGTTAGGTTAGGTAGCCGAAAAAGTTAGGTTAGGTAGTCGAAAAACAATTAATTCATGAAAACTTGGCTTATTAGGCAAATTGGGCCTTGCATAGTAGGCTGAGAAGTGCATTCTGGCTACTAGGTACGACATATATATATATATATATATATATATATATATATATATATATATATATATATATATATATATATATATATATATATATATATATATATATATATATATATATATTATACTGTAGCTGATAAATGACCAACATAGTCATAAAGAAACTAGTTAAGAATTATATATTCTTTGCCTATCCTCATGTGGTATTTAAATTTTTATTTCATAATTCATAAATTATATCTTATGGATGCTTAATAAGAAAATAACTAGGTGTCTCCAACCATATTGTACTGAATAATAATAAAAAAAAATTATGACAATTTAACATCACCTACAATTTTTAAATTTAAGATGCTACAAGATTATGCATTGGTTTAAAAAATTTTGTTCAGTTTTGTCATATGTTTTTAAAAATCTCAATATTATCCCTCTTACACTTTGCCTATTTCTATGTCACCAGTACATAGCCCTATATTAAACCCTGTGTCATTAAACAGTGCTGTAAAATCTGATGTACATTAATTAACAATTCAATTATTTTATAGAGTGCTAAGGATGACTCCAATAAGATTTCTTGCAATTAACAGTGAATTACATATAATCTATGATTAAGCCAGTGGTACTGTTAAAAAATTAGCAATAAATTGTAAGTTACTGTTAAATATTGAGATAAGCAAAGGCTTGTTGCTTCAATGTTGTGCTATGTTTTTGTCAAAGATAAATATGGTAACTTGAATTGATTGCACATTTCACAACTGTCTGTAGAGTTGTCAAATGTATATTATTGCAATGGATAATTACTATTGTGCTAAATGATTGTGATAATAGTTTGAGACACCAGAGTGATCTCGGATGATCAATGTATGAGCTAAACCATTTGTGGCACTGCCAACTAAGTAGCATGCCAGAGATATGGCACCATAAATGGTGTTACAGCCTTACTACAGGTAAAGCTGACGGAAAAATATTAGGGAAGTTTGCCCTGAGTAATACTGGGAAATGCTTGCTTTATCAACACAAAACCATCAAATAATAACAAAAACCTGAGCATACTAGTTTCAAATATGTACAGTATGATATGGAACAATGAGTTTTTAAACATGTTAACTTTTGTAATACTCAAATACTGTACCTGTATACAGTCAAAATGCAAAAATATATTTACCAAGCCTCTATATATATATATATAATTTTATTAGCATATTAAGAGCATCCAATATTCACAAGTAATGATTTATGGTTTTGGTGAAAAGTTATAGAAATTTCCCAGTATTATTTAAAGTCCTTTTAAGCTATCACTGCAGTGTTGTAATTGTGCAATACTTGGAATCTTGATAAAATTTCGTTGTGGGAATTATTGGAGGGGCATTTGCCTAGTAAGATATATAGTATTGTACTATATATATATATTGTACAACACTCATCATTTATATTATAATTAAATAATAATTGATTATTTATTAAATACTTCAGAAGAATGCTGTTTAAATTTTGTTGAGCATTACTTACCATTTAAACTGATTACAGATGAATTGGTAAGTAATGGCCAGAACAAACTGTAGTAGTAAATACCAACTAATCATTTAAATATTCAACCAAATTTCTGAATACAGTACTCAAAAAATTGTTGATTTTCACTCTCCTACCTCCCATAGCAAATCTGGGAAAAACAATGTTGATGTAACAATGAATCAACATTGGTCCAACATTGATTAAGTGGTCCAACATTGATTTAGCATGTTTTACCCCCTGGCTCAGTGTTAAACTATGATGGAGTTTTACTATAGGTCTTGTGAAGCTCTCATATATAATAATATAAAGCTCACAAAAATAATGTGCAGATTAGCATCTTTTGTGGATTTTTGCTCTCTGGGAACTCTCCGACTGTAATGAAAGGCTTTAGAATATACCCACACCATCCAACTGTCAAAGTCTTAAGAGATGTTTCAAGAGTACTTACAGGGTTCAAATTTAATGGATTGAGATCACCTCAAATTGGCTATGTGGCTTTATGCTTATTAGTGGGGGTTAGAAAAATGTCAGCAGTGACTACACTTCTGAAAATAATCTAAGTAATAATAATAATAATGATTTATTTGCAAGAAGGTACAATGAGTTGGTGAGATTACATAAGATAGGTATTTACATTCAAGCAAAGTACTGAACATGACCCCTGAGTACTCAAACCCATTGTTAAATTTTTTTCCATATAATGTATCAGCTATCCCAGAAGCAAAAGTCAAAACTTATATCCATTGAGAAAGGCAAATACAGTATAGTACAGCATAGCCAATTGCGCAAGGAAAGAAAGTAAAATCAATCAGTAAAGAAGATAGACATGGTATATAGTACTAATTAAAAATAAATTATACTGCATAGGTTTATAAAATGAAGTAGGCCAAATCTAAAGTAAAATAATTATCAGAACAAAGCTAAACCAGTATGGCTATAGCTTTGTTGGTTAAGTTGGAAAAAAGTCATTACTGAGGGAGAGACCGAGTCCTATGTGATATAAAACCAACTGGATTGACATTGATATAATCCATTAGTTCTTAATTTAAAGATGATTTAATTATATTTAAACATGCTTTCCTACCTTCTATAGTGTATGATAAGGGAATAGTTCGGTAAAGTTAAGATTATTTTTTTTTTAAGTTTTTAAATTTAATGAAAATTTTTGGATATGTTTTTTTTTATCCATTACTAATCTAATCTTACATGTTTAAAAACATGGAAACTCAAATTAATAAGAAAAATAGGTTTTCCAGTTTTATACTGTATTAAATATTCTTATAAAAAGGTTTGTATCACAATTTTTTAATGCCTTTAAAACAAATGCTAATCTTTACAAATTATTCTACCAGGCAGCTACTTTGATACTGTACTTACACTATGTGTGTGTTATTACAGATGTATTAATATTTCCTAATGTTAAATGTTCTTTATAATATTGAGAACATTATTGTTGCAAATGCCCCTCCACAATTAAAAGGTTCCAAGTTTTAAATGCTTAGTAAATGAATGATACTGTTATTGATAGTATTGTTAGCTAATAGTAATATCAGCAATTTAAGTTTGACAATATAGTACTCATTGTGAAAAATATTTTGAAGAAATGGTTTACTGCTAATCATTAACCATGATACATTTTGATATGTTGAATACACAACTGGTGCTCCGGGAAAAATGATTATATGTATCATTACCTAATCTTGAACTACAAGAAAGGATTCATAAGAACTTTGTAGTTGAAAGAGAATATCTTGAAAATCCACAAAATGTGTGGAAACTAAGTATATATATATATTTATATACGTTATATACAAGTAATTATTAAAAAACTGGGAGCCTTACCCTATGAACTCACAAAAGTGGACAAGTTGCACAAATATATAAAGGGTATGAAAAACATTGTATATTTTTCTTACAGGGGTCTATTATATATGATGCACTTCTTTACAAAGGATCTTCCATTGTCTTGGTAAGTAGCCTATATCCAAAATGGGAATAAATTATAACTATTTTTTCCTTTTAATGAATTTTCATGTTATTGGTTCACTAAATATTTTCTTATTTCATGCAAATAATGTATAAATTTTGCATGTTACATATGGACTAGTAGTTAAGGCATTTAATATATTGTATTTGTTAAAGGCTTCATACTTTACTAGAAGTTCCCTTGAAAAATAAAAGTGCCATATAATAAACATTTAAAAAGGTTTGACTTATCTTAATAAAGAAGTATAAATCACTGATCTCTAGAGTTACAAAGGATAGGCTCACTTTTATACATACTGCTAGGACTGAAGCAATACATTTTATTGAAACCCCTCAAAAAAGAGTAAATCAATGTTCATTGCATTTTATAAAATTATTTAACACCTACAGTGGGAATGTACAAAGATCTATAAAAGTCCAATGATAAATAACTGGCATTAAAACACAAAATAATAATAAAACCATTTCTAGACAAGTTTGCAGGCTAGCCCAGAAGAATTACACAGCGCCTTATCTATTTGCATAACTCGTCAAGTGATGGTTGACTGATTTAACTACATCTACCAGAGTTGCATAGAACACAAAAGCACATCTTTGGTCTGGCCTGACATAATTACTTCAGGGGCGGTGTTTTAATATAGCATTTCCTGAATATCTTAATAAGGATTTACAGGGTGAGATAAGAACTTTCAAAGGCTGTCAGTGATATTTAGTAATCCAGGGTGCTCTAATAGAAAATCTCATAAAAACAATACTATTCATCTTCTGAAAGTTATTAAGTTGAAGATGTTTGAAATTATATTTTTGCTAATTAGGACATAGCTATGAAATTGAAGAGGTTACCGACTTGTATAGCTATGAAGCGTGTTTTATGAACAATTAGTAGTTTAAACATGTGATTCCCTACCACTAACTGGAGTAGAAACATTTAAGGTGTAGAGTAAGCTTGTCCACAGCCAAGGTTGATGGAGTCGCCAACCTTGCATGTATTTTATTACAAGCAAACTCTGCTGATCACAGTCAGCTCATGGAATCAAATCTAAGATCTAGAGCTGTAAATTTGATGAGCTTCCCACTAAATTACACACAAAAATTCAAGAATTCTACTGTCAAATTTGCACATTTTTTGGTAGTTATTAAAAAAATTCATTACCGTATGCTCCCATGAAACCAATTTACAAATGGTGCTCATAAGTTTGGATAATGTGGTAGCACTATTTTATGACACATGTGAAAGAAAATTTCACATGGGTATATAAAATTTGATTGTTAAAACATCTGTATCCTATACAGATAGGGGTACCACCACTAGTGCAATTGTAGGGACCCAAAGCCTTGGAGAAGAGAATAAAGGGCATTCAGAGAAGACCTTGTAGATTATCCCTGAATAATTTAATATTGTCTTCTCCTACCACCCCTACTGTATCTTGGTAATGTATACATGTGATAAAGAGCCCCTTGGTCTGCCACAATATTACCCAACTTTCTTGAATGTAACCAGATACTCGGTTGCAGGCCAACAGCAACAACCCAGTGAAACTTGAGTGACATTCATAGCTCCAAATGAACTCTTGTGAACATGGGAGCTATGGATATATCATTATATCCAGTCAAAGTTTGTGACATGTTTTCTACTCAATTTACTCTTTCCGTAACACTGTTCAGAAATTTAAAATTGTATGCTATACTGAAAACCTTAAAACATTTTTATATAAAAGATGCATTTATAAAATTGCAAATTATGCAAATTGAGGAAAATATAAATATCTTACTGCTATGTTTGTTATTCTCAAATGTCTTCAAAAATGGACAAACATAAATGACATCTTGATTATGTTAAACCTTTGGTATTGCTTCACTATGTCTCCTCTTTTCTTTGTGTTGTGTATGAAAAAAAAAAAGAGAGAAACCATACTGATTATTTAATCAACGAGTTTTGAAATGTTAATTTTAGAGGAGCTTTGGCCCCAATTGTATTTGGAGTTCTTGCTACCAGTTCTTCCTAGTTTCATAAGCCTGACACAACCTGCTACATATATGACATTCTCAGCAAATCATTAATAACTTTCACATATGACTTCTATAGTGCATTCTTTTTTTTGGAAAAAAAAAGAAGCTAACATACATGAACTTTAAACCCATTATTGCTAATCTGGTCATATATGGTGTATTCCACTGTGAAGAATCTCCTTGCTACAAGTGAAGATGATCACAGTCTGTAATATGTACTGGATACTCACACAATATGTTAAAAATCCTACAATACTTCAAATATTCTTAGAAAGAGCATGTATGATAGGTCTATCACAGGGACTTAAGGAATACAAGAAAATGTCCAAAGTCTTTGATAAGGCAATATACACCTATCATTGAAAGAGAAATAAAAAAGACTAGATTAACTTTTAAGGAAGTTACTGTGTTCCATTTTTAATCCTTCCAAATAAAACAGTATCACAACAGGATTTAGAAGAAACTATATCCCTATGGAATTTATTTTTAACCTATGTGTTTTCTATTTTATATCTTTGACAGCATGCCATCTGGTCTGGGAAAATACCTGGATGACTATACATAGGCAACATGAAGAGTCATAAGGAATCAAAGGCATGAGTCTCCAAAGGTATGGAAGACAGGCACTGCAAAGAAGAACAAATAACACAACTTCCATTTAAAAACATTATATTGCATACTAAATGCATTAATGTTTATATTAGAGCCATATTTTCTGAACTATGGCTGAACATCATTTTTCTGTCTGGGCTCACACTTTATTGTTCAAAGCACTGCCAGAACAGTACCACATTTCAGTACATTAATTTTACAATACCACACTGTATTCACTGAATTGGCTCAACCCAAAGAGATCCGAGTCTTTGGCTCAATATCGGGCTGACTGCTAGAGTTCTGTAACAGGCACGGGCTTAGTAGGTGTCATGGTATAAGCTGGATGATAATTATGAGTGTAAGGATGGTGATCACACCCACTGCCACGTCCTCCTATGTGGTGCCCTTTGAGGAGGCGATGCACACATGAGCCATGGTGACGATACAGCATCATAACCACCACTGCTGCTACCACAATTACAATAACACAAACTACAAGGCCAATAACCAGTCCTTGTGTAGCTGGATCCATGCCACATGCCAGGTCGCTCATTTGCGTGGAATGCAGTGGCACATTTGCCAGGCGAGGTGGAGATGCACACTTCAGACTTGCACTTGAATTCGGGGTCAGGGTTAGTTCACGAAGCCATGCAGCAGAACAGTTACAAGTTATAGGATTTCCTTCAAGGTGCCAAACATCAATATCTGCCCAAGATGCTGCATGTTCACTGATTTGTTGAAGATTATTGTTATGGAGGTCCAAGAGACTCAGTTCTGGCAGAAAACGAAGGGCATCTGGAGCTATGTATGTTAATTGTGGATTCTGTGTGATCACTACCTGCTTAATATTCAAATTATGTTGCAAAACACCTTTTTCCATATAGACTAAATTTGGACATCCTGATACATAGAGCGAGTGTAAATTCCGATTACTTCTGAATGCATCTGATGGTAAATTGGTAAACAAATTTCGACCAATATGTAGTTCTTCTAATTTGCTGAGGGTATTGAGTGGAGTTGTTGGAATAGATTTTAGTCCACATCCTTCTAGTTTCAATTTCCGTAATCCTGAAAGACCTTCAAAGGAATCGACAGTAAGGCCTTCATCCAAGAATGCCCCAGAGAGGTCAAGGTCCTTTAGAGTTATCATAGACTGTAGATCACCTTCCTTTACCTCTGTGAAATTATTACCACCAAGACTGAGCTCTGCTAAGTCTGATACAAGTGCAAGGTTTGTGGCTGGTATTACAGTCAATCGGTTGTCACGAAGATGCAAAACTCGCAAGTTGGACAATCCTGAGAGTGCTTGCTCATCTAATCTCTCTATTCGATTTTCAGAAAGGTCAAGGTCCCTCAGTTGATTCAGATGGATAAAGACTCCGCCTTTCAATGATTCAATTGCATTACCACGTAAAGAGAGAACCTGAAAGAAAAAAAAGTAATATATTCACAAGAATTTATAACTCATAAAAATTCAGCCTCACCTAACTTTTACTAGTTAAAATATCTGCTTATTTTATTCCATAATTAAATAACATACAACAAATATTTTGGTTTGACACCCCAAGGTTAAAAATTTAACTTGAGCAATGACATCTAGTACGCAGCACATTGGTTGTAAGCTAAGTGTTACGAAGTTACATAAATGTTAAGTTTAATTTAGAATGAGGTGCACCTGTTTAGTTTAGCCATTATTTGTAATGATTTGTATTAGCCATTATTTGTAATGATTTGTATAAGTTATGAAAATATTTTCAGATTCTGAATTTGACAACTGTAATGATTTAAAATCATTGATAAATGTAACTTCTAAATCTAAATCTAAAGTTTAAATATATGGTTTATAATTACACATCTCACTTATTGTAATGACTTTCTCTTAAGTAAATAATTTATTGTAAATTAATATTTGTCAATTTGTGTAAACTAACCAGTTACAAATGTACAAACATTTGTGAATAAAGTATACATGTTAAAGCATTAAAATTTATTTATAGGGCCTTTAATCATGTACAGTTACAGTGTAAATGTCAATATAGTACAAGCTAGAGCAAGCCTCAGAGTTAACACCTGTGGCCTGCAAAGTTGAGACTGCTAGTCAGCACCATAAGCAAGGTATTAATTGGTATTACTACAAGTCGAGCTGGTGGAAAAGTAAATTTCTATGACTAGCTGGCCATAAGGCATGGAAATGCTTTATAAGGTGCAGACCCAAGAGTATAAATTAGGAGGCACTTTTGTTTTTAATGTGTGCCTCCACTTCTCCATCCAGCATATGTCGAATCTACGATGACCAAACCACACTTCAGAAGATGGAGAAATGATGTTTCGGTCCATCGTAGACCATTATCAAGTCGTGTGTGAGGTATCTCATGTTGTGCGAGATCTCATAATATATGATAACATATCACATGTTTTGTGGTAACATTAAAATCTAGTAGCTTAGTAATCTTGCGGGATATATGGTGCAAGAGTAAGGGGGGCCTGATGGCTGAGTGGACAGCGCTCGGGATTCGTAGTCCTAAGGTTCCGGGTTCGATGCCCGGTGCAGGTGGAAACAAAGGGGCAATTTCTTTCACCCTGATGCTGCTGTTCACCTAGCAGTAAATAGGTACCTAGGAGTTAAAGAGCTGCTATGGGCTGCTTCCTGGGGATGTGTAACAAAACGGAGGCCTGGTTGAGGACCAGGCTGCAGGGACGCTAAGCCCCGAAATCATCTCAAAATAACCTCAAAAAGATCCTTCATGTTGATATCTCCGTTTGATCAGCAGATGCTAGGAGTCTGGATCTGGAGTGTGAACCTATGTTCTGGAAGAAATATTGGTCATGATGCCACAGGTACCACTGGTAGAAGAGATTAAGTTATTCCTGTTGTGATTAAAAAATGATGGCACGAAAGCTACAATAATGACGTTACATTGAGGTGGTTCCAAGAATCAATGACTCAGTGGCCCGGTCTCTGAACAGCCCTTCTGGTTGGTGGTTTGGTCTACCAGACTGTTAAAAGCTACTGCTAACGGTCTGATGTATGAATTGCAGCTCAATTGATCGTGTATCCTTTGGGAGTGTTCTTCCATTTTGAACACTGTGAAAAGTAGTCTAATTTGTGTAGAGCTAGTGTTGAAAGGCTAGGCACTGTTAATTTTCTAAAGGGTTATTTTGGATTATTTTGTGAGGCCCCCTCCCCCCACTCCTGCTTCTGGTCTTGCAAGGAATTATTTCCATGTACAGGTTTGGAACCAGTCCTCCAAATATGTTCCAGTTGTAAATTCTTATTTTTTTTTTCTGCACTCTAATGAGTACAGTTTGAGAGATTTTAAGTGGTCCTAACTCTTGATAATGTTTTTTGAACTCATTGTATGCGGTATAACTCCTAGTCATGTGGAAAACTATTCCATATTTTGGCCCCCTAATTTGAATTACATTTTTACTTTAAGAGAGTTAGACTTTGGGAAAGTAAAGTAACCCATAAAACAGGTGTGGCAAAATGTAGCTTGCATCAGTATGTTGGATTGTAATTTAGCAGTATCTAGTATTAGACTACCCGTACTTAGAGTGTACGATAAGGGGCCCAATAAAGAAAATGAAGCAGTGGTATAAAAGTCATATTTATTTTTTGGAAGGACTGTGCAATTAACAGATGCAGCCATGGATATAAAGATGGGAAACCTGGCAGTGCCTGGATTGACCTTGTCTCTACATGTCTCCATCTTTGTATCGGTCTCTGCTTTTGTCTCTGTCTATATGTTTTAGGTCTCTGCTTTTGTCTGTCTATATGTTTTAGTCTAACTGTTTTTCCCACATCTTGCCCAAAATGCTGTGCGTATTAGTAACTTCAGGCATAGTATGTACTAGCTTTATCAAGAAATCCAACATTCTGTTTGTAACTCATATGTACAGTATGTACTTTTACTTGAATAAACATTATTTATTTATTTATTTATGTATCTTCTGCCCCTCTCTGTCTATATCCAATCTGTATGGACATGTTTGCAACACAGCACAGGAAATGCAAGTGAGGACACTCAGGAGGCAGCGGGTGGGTGGGGATTGAGGGAGTATTACGTCATGAAAATGTGTTACAGACTATTACAGTATAAAATCCATACACTGTTCAGTGAAAACACTATTAAATGTGAGGTTGCCTAAACCATGACAAATCTTCCCATCAATTTCATGATATTACTTCAACATTATGCTTACAATGAGATTGGAGAGTCCCAGGAACATTTCAGCTGCCAAGTCACTAATGTTGTTCTGTGCCAAATGGAGTTCCTCTAGATGTGATTGATGCTCAAAGGTTTTTGGCAATACCCGCATGATCATATTTTTGCTGAAAACCAGAATGCAATAATTCATAATTATATAGACTTCATGTTGCTGATGACATAAACGATTGAAAATATGCATTACACAAAAACAGGTGGAATTTTAAATGGGAATCCATGGAGGTTTTTAATAACCAAGGAACATTACTTATAGGATGCACTATAGAATAAATTTTAAAATAATGTTTTCACATGCACAATTCCAAAACACTAACCTGAGATTGACATGTCGTAGGTCCAAGTACCAAAGCAGTGAATTGGTATCTAGTGTGTGTATTTCAGTGCCATACATGGTGAGCTGTTGTAATGCTGGATTGAAGGTAAATGGGAGAACATCAATATTTGATGGCTCACAGCGAACAACAAGAGCCTGTAAAGCACAAGATAAATAAATAACAAGCCTAGAACAAGTGATGCATATTTGTGCATTATCAGTGAGAAAGTGAGATAGAGATCTAGATGTAGAATACAGCAGTCTGACAACAATGATTTTCAAATGTAATACATCAAACCATGATTAAGCAGACCACTTGATTCCTCCAAATATCTGAATAACTTGAAATCGGAATAATCAAGAGATCATGAGACCCCCCCTTTTTTTTTTTTTTTTTTTTAATTTTAGTGTTATAAGACATGATAAAAATACATGTACTAGTGTTTTAATAGGAATGCACCAATGCATGCATATATTTGCAGGAAACACACTGTACATACCAGTTGAAGTACACAACAGTGAGAATGCGAACCAAAACAAAAGTCTTGTTCATATTTCAGAGCCTCCCCTGGTGCCCTACTTCATATTATTAACCAGCGCAGGGACCCTAACATACCACTATGGAACCCTACTATTATTTCAAACCATATACTCGTATTGCAGTTTTTATGTTCGTATACTGTTATAAGCCTCATGATTTGCTCAACCCCAAAAATGATATATTTTTGGTAAAGGAAAGGAAAATGTTGAAAATATATACCCTACCTTGCAAGACCTAAATGCACACGCTTACATGTCTTCACTCACATACGAACACAAATAGGGAGATAAGGCATACAAATTATGTTACACAACATTCTTATACACAAACTGAGAAATGAGACGTATTCTTTGAAACAAGATTTTGTTTCATATTTCCTGAGGTCTTACATACGAATGAATAATTCAGACCAGTCATGGAAATTCCCAGTGCTGATGCCTCACCTCATCATCGCATGTACAGTTGTTGGGGCAGATGGCGGCGCATGGCGTCACCAACGACCCCACCAGCAGGAGACAGTACATGGCCAGCGACGGCAGTACCATCTGAGGCACTTGCGTCCGTCGCTTCCACAGCTGACAATGGAGGGTGGAGGCTGCAGGGCAAGACGTGGCAGGGGTTTGCTGGTGCACCAGCCTCTGCTGATGCTGTTGATGGCACCCACGGAGTGTCGCCTCCAGCTGGTTGGAATAATATTTCTGCCGCTCCTGATGATGGTGACACTGTCTCCCTGGCTCCTGAAGACACCATCTCACTTCACCCTGATGGTAGTGGTGACAGTCTTCCATTGGCTCCTCCCTTGCGATGTTTTCATTCTCTTGTCTCCCGTTGCCGGCCATATTTGGCAACTGAAATACAGAAGTAACATTAGCCGACGTAATGAGATGGTTTTAAAGCACTGAAAAAATACAACTTTTCGATACATATCCAAAGTTAAAGAGTATGATATTACATGGAATAGTTTTGAGATGGCGACTCGGGCCAACTTTTGTGGATCATTGTTTTAACTTGGTGAAACTGTCGGACATCTGCTCAGAAGAGGGAAAGCTGGAAGAATAAAAGTTTTTATTGCAAGATATTGTAGGGAAGACAATATTCTCGTAAGTGTTTCTCAGCAATAGCTGAAGTTTCGTAAAAGCTTCATTTTGTATAATTCACGGTTTTGTTAGAAATAAAACATAAATCGAAGCGCCAATATAGAACAAAATGTTACTCGATCAAACATTTCAATATCAATCAAACTCTTGGTAAACATGCGTGAAATCTGTGTACCATCTATTTACATATGATAATATATCTTAGAATACGATATAATTAATACAGGGTTCTGTAATAGCGAATACTGAGGTACTGAAGTAACGCGTAACAATATGGAAGTTGTAGTGAAGGACCTGGTGACTCTAGTGGGAGCCCTGAGGACAGAGTTGGACTCTCTGCGGGAGGAGGTGCGTCAGCTTAAAAAACAACGAGAAGTAACGAAGGAGGAGACCAGCAGTAAAGGGACCTCGTCTTGGAGAGTTGCGAAAGACAGGGGCCTTAAGAAGACTTTGATAAAGCCGCCTTCAAACGCCATAGCAACTTCAAATTCATTTGACGTTTTGGAGGACGAGTGCTGTGGAGAGACTGTGGATCGCGCAAAAGGGAAAGCAACGAAGAGAAAGGAAGCGCAGGCCCCTCAGAAAGTAAAGGAAGTACCTAAGCAAACATTAGTTGTGGGAGATTCCCAGATAAGGTATTTGGATAGAACGTTTTGTGCTAGAGATAGGGGGAACAGGTTAAGGGTTTGCTATCCCGGAGCTGGCATTGGTGATATTATAAACAACATGAATGATATTATGGCTGGTAATGGGAACAATCCCATTATTTGCATTAGCGTGGGAGGAAATGATGTTGGTCGAGTCAGGAGTGAGGAACTGATTCAGAGGTATAAAACAGCCATAGAGTTAGTTAGGAGCAAGGGAGGAATCCCGATCATATGTGGCATTCTTCCAAGAAAGGGAGTGGGAAATGAATGGATATCGAGGGCACTTGGTGTCAATTGCCGGCTGGAAAGATATTGCAAATCAAATGCAATATCTTTCATAGACAACTGGGAACACTTCTATGGAAGAAATGAAATGTATGCTCGTGATGGGGTGCATCTATCGAGAGCTGGGGTTGTTGCTGTTGCGAACTCGCTAGAAGAAGTGGTTAGAGGTGTTTGTTTGGGTTTAAACTGTTAGTAGATAGAGGTATGGGAATTGATTTGGAGGAAGGAGGTAATAAAAGTATGTGTTTGTGGGAGAAAGGAATTGGCAAAACGATCAGGGAAAGAGAAGGTCCGCAAAATAACAATTCACTTAGGGTATATTACACTAACAGTAGAAGTCTAAGAAATAAAATTAACGAATTAAATGCTCTTGTCTGCACAGAAAAAATAGATATTATTGCACTTACCGAAACGTGGATGAATGTAGAAAATAGAGAACTATTAGCTGAATATCAAATATATGGATTTAAACTATTTCACACAGATAGATATATTAGACGAGGAGGTGGAGTAGCCATATATGTTAGGGACAATTTGAAATGTAGTCTCAAAGAGGGAATCAAAACAGAGCCACACACAGAAACTATTTGGATTGAATTAAACGAAAAAGCTAATAATATTATAATAGGAGTAATATATAGGCCACCAAATTTAGACAGAATGGAAGCAAAGCATCTATGGGATGAAATATCTAGAGCATCTAGATCTAACAGTATTTATGTCATGGGTGACTTTAATTTTAGCGGAATAAACTGGTTGAACAAAACAGGGAATAGTGAAGCAGAAGATTTTCTAGAATTAATTGACGATTGCTTTCTTACGCAACACATTAAGGAACCAACACGGGAAAATAATATTTTAGATTTAGTGTTAACTAACAGGGAAACGCAAATTAATGACATCGAAATAGGGAGTGAGCTAGGGAGCAGTGATCACAAAGAAATCAGATTTAGCATAGAATGGAATAGACCAGTAGGAGAAAATTCTGTTAAAGTGCCAGATTTTCGAAAAGCTGATTTTAATAGCCTAAGAATTTTTTTGGGTCAAATTGATTGGAAAGGCTTGGGTATGGGGTGTGGGCCGGTCTTGGAGCGAGACATGAACCCAGCGATAGGTGACTTAAATGGGGATTTCGATGTGGATTCAATATATAACTTATTTAAGAATATTCTAAACAAAGCACAGGAACGTAGTATACCATACAAATTGAATAGATCGTATACTAATGACCCAAAGTGGATAACAAAGAATTTGAAGAACCTTATAGGTAAAAAGAGAGCTTGGTACAAAAGGATTAAAATGGGGAGGTCACTTTAGAACAGGAATTCGTACAACTGGTTAGAAATGTTAAAAAAGAGATAAGGAAAGCAAAAAGAAACTATGAAGTTCGCATAGCAGGGCAAGCAAAGACAAATCCTAAAGGTTTTTTTTCAGTTATATCGTACTAAGACTAGGGAAAGGATAGGTCCATTAAAAACTGAGACAGGTCAAATAACAGATAGTGATGAAGAGATGAGTAGTATTTTTAATAAATATTTTGTATCTGTATTTACTAAAGAGGAACTTAACAATATGCCTTCAGCCGAACAAGTCTATGTGGGTGGGGACGAGGACAGGTTGACGAGTTTAGCAGTTACCAGGGAGGATGTTCTTAAACAAATAGTAAAACTCAAACCAAACAAATCCCCAGGGCCGGATGAAGTGTTTGCTAGGGTGCTTAAAGAATGCAAAGAGGAGCTTTGTGACCCACTGTCAACCATATTTAATAAATCAATAGAGTCAGGCAGAGTGCCAGAGTTTTGGAAAGTTGCTAATGTGATACCAGTTTTTAAGAAAGGAGATAGATCACTTGCGTCTAACTATCGACCAATTAGCCTAACGTCTATTGTGGGAAAGTTACTCGAATCTATAATAGCAAATAAAATTCGTCTTCATCTTGAAAAACATAAATTAATAATTGAGTCGCAACATGGTTTTATAAATGGCCGTTCATGTTTAACAAATTTGTTATCTTTTATTCTAGCATTGTTGAGGCAGTTGATAGTGGTAAGGATTGCGATGTTGTATACCTTGACTTTAGCAAAGCTTTTGATACAGTGCCACATGAAAGACTGATTAAAAAATAGAGTCTCATGGTATTGGGGTGCTATATTAAGCTGGATTAGGGCATGGCTATACCAAAGGAAACAGAGAGTTAGTATAAATGGAATCAAGTCAGAGTGGGAAAATGTTGTAAGTGGAGTGCCTCAAGGCTCTGTCCTGGGACCTCTGTTGTTTATAATATATATAAATGATTTAGATTCAGGTTTGAGTAGCAACATTTGCAAATTTGCCGATGATACGAAAATCGGTAGGGAAATTAATTCGGAGGAGGACTCACTATCACTTCAAGTTGATCTAGATAGGGTTTTGAAATGGTCAAAGGATTGGCAGATGCAGTTTAATGCTGATAAATGTAAAGTTCTGAGGTTAGGTAATGATGATAGAGTTACAAGATACGAGCTAGATGGTGTTGTGATTGCGAAGTCGGATTGCGAAAGGGATCTGGGAGTTATGATTAGTAAGAATTTAAAACAAAAGGATCAATGCATAAATGTTCGTAATAAGGCAAATCGGACACTTGGATTTATTAATCGCAGCGTTAGTAACAAGACACCTGGTGTGGTTCTCAAGCTATATCTTGCTCTAGTTAGGCCCCATTTAGATTATGCAGTTCAGTTTTGGTCGCCATATTATAGAATGGATATAAATTCACTTGAACGTGTCCAGCGTAGGATGACTAAGTTAATTCCCCAAATTAGAAATCTTTCATATGAAGAAAGATTAACAAAGCTTAAGTTGCATTCACTGGAAAGGCGAAGAGTTAGGGGTGACATGTAACGAAGGACTGTAGTAAAGGGGGATTATAATAACGGGTACTGAGAGGTGCTGTAGTGACGACTACAGGGGGGTGCTCTTGTCTGCCTCCAGGGTCATTGTTCTATCTAAATCATCTTATTTTTTAACTTCTTCCAATATTACTTAATTTTGGTCTCTTTTTGGGTCTCGAGAAAGTTTAAATTTAGTCTAAATAACTTTCATTGAGTACATAATACGATTCTTTATCATTTTCCCTTGGTTCCTCCCCATCTTCTGTCTTGTCTGAATACCTGATCATTTAGTCGTCGTCTTCCTGATGTGACTGGTCCTTTGTTTCGTATGCTACATGCTTATGTATTTGGGAATTATTCGAATCTGTCATTTCCCTTTACGGTATGCTACATTTGCGTTTCCACTTTTCTTGATTCTTTTCCACACATACTTCAATGCAGCATATAGTGGTTACTTGCCACTGGCTGTGCTTTAATTGGTATTCTTATTGTCCGTCTTTAATAAGACCACAAGTACAGTCTGGCTGGTCTCTTTCCCGCCCCTTCTTTGTTTATCTGACATGTGTGAGGGAGTCCTTTCTACTACGTCCATTATTCACCTAGTTGTGTTTGCGGGGGTTGAGCTTTGCTCTTTCGGCCCGCCTCTCAACTGTCAATCAACTATTTACTACTTTTTTTTTTCCACCACACACACACCCCAGGAAGCAGACCGTGACAGATGACTAACTCCCAGGTACCTATTTACTGCTAGGTGTGTACACTCACCTAGTTGTGTTTGCGGGGGTTGAGCTGTGTGTGTGTGTATCTTGAGGTTATCTTGAGATGATTTCGGGGCTTTAGTGTCCCCGCGGCCCGGTTCTCGACCAGGCCTCCACCCCCAGGAAGTAGCCCGTGACAGCTGACTAACACCCAGGTACCTATTTTACTGCTAGGTAACAGGGGCATAGGGTGAAAGAAACTCTGCCCACTGTTTCTCGCCGGCGCCCGGGATCGAACCCGGGACCACAGGATCACAAGTCCAGCGTGATGTCCGCTCGGCCGACCGGCTCCCTATGTGTGTGTGTGTGTGTGTG